CTGTTTCTGTTTCTTTAGCATATTCAGTAGTTAGCTATGACCTTAATACTTAGATGAGTGTGTGTTCTGGTATTTTTTATGCTTTCTGATTGCCTCCAGGTAGATGTGATTAGGAGATGGGCTTCCCTTTTCTCTTTTCTTATTACTCAACTCAGAGTAACTGTTGCAGGTGTTGGCTGCCTACCTGGTGTATTGCAGCTGGTATTGGTTCTTGCCTAGATGGTGGGATTTGATAGGGTGTGGTTATAGCTTGACTATATGACCACAGTTGTTGTCTCTTCTTGGGTAATGTAGAGAGAGAAAGAGCCCCCTAACAGTGAAGAGGGGACCAAAAAACAAAACAACAACAGCAAAAAAGACAGATTGGATTCTTTAATCTATAATCGTAGAAAAGAGAGAGGAGGGGGAAAAAATTATGTAGGCAAATATGAGTTTGACTTTAATGTCCCTCTCTCTGCGTCTTACCTTCATGTTGCCTAAGAAATTTCAAGATGCTACAGTTGGTCCTTAAGATATAACTCAGGATTTAATTTTTGGCCGTTTGGCTTTAAGTGGGCCCTTCCCCTTTAAATTCTGCTGAGCAGATCTGTGCGTATGTGTAGTAGAACCCTCTGGGGTTGGGGGTGGGGTGTCCACTCACTTAGGCACCCCATCTAGTCACCAGAATGGAGGTGCACAGACAGCAAGAGACCAATATACAGACACAAAACAAAGACAAAAGAATGTCCACACCTCTATCTCTGAGGATTGGTCAAGCATCCATGGCGGCTCTGATCCTTCAGCCGCTCCGTCTCACTCAAGATGGCTGCTCTGGGAACTGCTGAGCCTGGCAGATCCCAGAAAACACTAGATTTCTTGCTTCTGCTACAAATTCCACTGGCTGTAAACCTTCAGAATTTCTAAATATTCAGGGACCATCCCCTGAACCTGCTTCATCTGGTATTCTGTGTTATTGCTGATGGAGATCCTCACTGCACTTCTCCCATCTGCTATCAAGCCCCTCCCCTAGGGTTATGCTTCTTAATGGTCATTTTTTGGGGAAAGATATCGTAGAAGTATTCAGTGACCCATGGAATTGAAACTCATCTACTAAATCACTTCACTCTTTTAATCATTTTTCAAAACTTTGTTGTGAATTGGGTGAAGATTTACAGAGCAGATCTGTTTTCCATTCAACATTTCAGACAAATTTTGGTTCATCTCATTGATTGCATTTCCTTCCCTCTGACTTCCCATAATGCAAGTTATCCCACTTCCTCCCAAGTTTTCTGCTTCCATTCCTCCTTCTCTCTTAACACTTCTGAACTTTGTCTTGGGTCAGGGTTGCCTTATAATCTCAGCGCCCTGCCATCTAGCCAATTCTGATTCATAGTGACCCTATAAAGGTCTTTTGAGGTTGTAAATCTTTTTGGTAACAGAAAACTTCATTTTGCTCACATAGAGGGCTGGTGGGTTTGAACTACCAACCTTGTGGTTAGCTGTCCATTACTTATCCTACAGCACCAATATTCGAAGGTTTGTGTCCTTTTTAGTGTTAATGTTCCTTTTGCTTTCTGAAGCTTGCAGTTCCTTTTGCCTTCTGAAGCTTGCAGTTCCTTTTTTTTTTTATAACTCTTTCTGAAAATAAACTTGCTGATTTTAAGTGAATGGATGATCCATGAGGGGTGATATGGGGGTGAAGTCGGAGAAACCTATATTTACTTGTGGGTACAAATAGAGTCCTGGTATGATGCTATAGGATAAATGCTGGACTGGTAACTACAAGGTCAATGGTTCAAACCCACCAGCCACTTCTTGGAACCCTATACAGGGTCTCTATGACTCTGAAACAACTCAACAGCACTCACCAACAACAACACACAGCATAATCATAAGAGCCTGCATGATTATTTGGGGAGGAAAATTCCATGAAATGGTTGGTGATTTGGCCTAAGCTTTAGACAGGAACCTCTTTGAGTGACGTTCTTTCAGTAGCAACATGAGACTGCCTTTTCACCCCATTGAATATCTCATTGCCTGCGTGTTCATTAATTCTGTCATCCTTCTATGGGGCACTTGCTGTATGCTCAGAACAATACAAGGTGCAATGGAGGAATTAAGAAGTAACTGAAACACTGTGCCTTTCTATCAAGTTAACTAACCATAATTGAGGTTGGGCCAGCAAGCTCCATGACCATGCAATTCATTTAGCAAAGCTTTGTGAAGAAAATGAGGCAGTGGTTGGCAAGTACACAGAAAGAAGGCTGTCACAGGAGAACTTAGTGTCACAGTGGGTGGATTTTCCATTATCTTTGGGTCCTCCAAGGGTCTCGGGTGCTGCAGTGGATTAAGCATTGGACTGCTAACCTCAAGGTCAGTGATTCATACCTACCAGGTGCTCCATGAGAGAAGGATGAGGCTTTTTGCCCCATAAATATATACAATTTTGGAAACCATTTGGTGCAATTCCTATAGGGTCACTATCGTTGGAATCAATGACATTGGTCTCATTTAATTTGGGGGTGGTGGTGAGGTGTCCTCTGGAGCCATCCTAGTCATGTGAAGCAGTTCAAGACATAGATATTGCCATGTAACCAGACAGACTTAGACTCCTATCTGGTTCTCCTTTGGATATATCCTGATGCCTTGGAGAAGTGCCTTCACTTCTATTTGTATCTTTGGTTCTCTCCTTTGTAGAAGAGGTATAGGAGTATGATACTCCTTGGAGGTTTGGTAGGAAGATGGAAAGGGATGGTGCCTGCGAAGCTCCTAGCAGAGTGGACGGCACATAGTAGGTGCCTAAGAAATGCTCGTCTTCTGCACTCCCCTGTCTGAGATGGGGAAGGTATTAGTCAAAGCTCTCACATACCTGGTGGGTGGGTCTTCTAGCTTCGGGTGTATCCAGCCAACCTGATCTTCCACTTGGGGACTTGCTGACCTTACAATTCTCCAATGTTTCTCTTCTCCCAAGGCCGTGGAGGAGCTTCTGAAGACTCTGGACCTAGAGAAAAGGGCAGTGGCCATGGGGCACAGCCAAGTGAGTAGAGCGTGTTTCCTGTGTCATTGTGTCCATCACAGCGGGGCCTGGACACAGTCCTTTTCCTGGCTCCGCTCTCTGTTTCCTCGGGGTGTCTTCTTTCCACCAAACTATAAAGGGAGAAAATAATGCCCTGTTGATCTCATGAAACCTTGAAGATACAATTTAATAATGTAGGAGAAGTAACAACGGAAAATATCGCCTATTGGAGACAACACTCGCAAGGATGTTGGTGGTGTGGGATAGTTAGCATTCTATTCTGGTCCATGTTGTTGTTGTTAAGTGCCATTGAGTCAGCTCTGACACATAGCGACCCTGTGTAGGGTTTCCGAGGAGCAGCTGGTGAGCTGGAACCACTGACCTTGCAGTTCAAATGGCTTTGCAGTCTGGTGCATTAACCTACAGCACCAAACCGGACTCCATTCTGGTCCATAGGACCTCAGAAAGAGTTGCCATGTAACCTGGGAACAAACTCTCAAGACTTCACTTGAAGCTTTCAAACTTTTATTTTGTAACCAACTCTAATACAACTTGAATCCTTCTGATTGGTCACAGTGAGTTAAAAGAAAGGAGAGGGTATTAGGAAAAGGTACAAAGTTTCTTTGTGGTGTCAATGACTTACACTCAACTGCTACCTGAGAGGCTGGTAGTTTGAACCCACCAAGGGGCACCACAAAAGAAAAGCCTGGAGTTCTACTTCCATAAGAGTACAGCCATTGGAGAGAGGGTCAGAAGACAGCACATTATTATTAGAATTGAAATAGCTTTTCCCCAACTGGTATTGAGCCAAAAGCTTTACAAAATGTTTAAAAGTTTGGTGGAAAATTTCAGAGCCCTAGTACATTCATATATCCTGTGAGCTTTCATGAAGGAAAAATATAGTATTTGTTGTTGTTGTTGTTAGATGTCATCAAGTGGTGACTCATAGCAACCTTATATACAAGGTTATATACGCTCAATCCTGAGCCATCCTCACAACTGTTGTATCGGAGCCCATTGTTGCAGTCACTGTGTCAGTTAATCTCATTGGGGAGCTTCCTCTTTTGCACTGATCCTTCACTTGACCAAACATGATGCCCTTCTCCAGAGACTGGTCCTTCCTGACAACATTTCCAAAGTTCATGTGATGAAGTTTCACCATCCTTGCTTCTGAGAGACATTTTGATTTTACTTTTTCCAACATTTGTTCATTCTTCTAGAACTCCATGGCCTATTCCGTATTCTTCAAAAACATCATAATTCAAAGGTATCAGTTCTTCTCTGATCTTCCTTATTCATCGTCTAGCTTTGACCATGAAAGCCTCATTCTTCTGTCTTTATGGAACATTACCATCTCCTGGAACTAGTATTCCATGGGTTATTGTTTGGGAAATAGAACACAGAGCTATTAAACTCAAGGACCAGGTGTTGGGCAGTGGGGAAGCTGCAACATTTAGAAATGCAAACACAAAAAGAAGCAGATCGACATCAATAACCATGTCTTCCATCTCTCCAACCTGTTATTTGCCAATTCATTAAAGTCATGTTGTTGTTGTTGTTGTTGTTAGATGCCATTGAGTTGGTGCCAACTCATAGCAACCTTATGCACAGCAGAACGAAACACTGCCCAATCCTGGGTCAGCTTTACTATTGTTGCCACGCTTGAGCCCATTGATGCTGCCACCCGGCCAATCCATCTTGATGGGGGTCTGCCTCTTTTTCTCTGACCCTCCACCTTACCAAACATGATCTCCTTCTCCAGCGCTTGGTTCCTCCTGACAATAAAGTCATGTGGTAAACATTTATTGATGGCCTTCTACCTCCAGGCAATGGGAAATCCCCTGCTCCCCAGAAACCCATAATCATGGTGTACCCGGCTATTTCTATTTCTTTCAACCACGCATAGCCTGCTCCATCATACCTCTCAGAACCCAACTTTTTCTAGAAGTGCTCAGGGTTACTTGAACTCCATTCGTCCTTGACAGTTCATCCTAAACCCACTCCTATCCGAACACAGGTTCTGCTAAGGAGTATGGCTGAGGCCACTGATTTATCACAGCCTCAATCTGGTTTCCCCTGCTGGGAGTTGGCAGCATCTGGGCTTTTGCAGAACTTTCCATTAGAGGGAATCCTAGGCTCCTAGTATAGCATAATGGTTACGAATTGGGTTGTGAACCACAAGGCCAGCAGTTAGAAACTACCAGCTGTTCCGTGGGAGAAAGATGAGGCTTTCTGCTCCCATAAAGATTTACAGCCTCGGAAACCCTATACAGCGTCTCTATGAGTTGGAACCGACTCCACGGCACATAACCACCACCAGTATGAGCCAGGTACTATGCTAGGCAACTTCATGTATTATTCCTTACAGTTCCCTGTGAGATAATGTGCACATCCTTGGGAGTGTATGGCTGGCAGAGCTTCAAAAAGTGCCTGAAAAAGTCCACTATCTTTACACTCCATTTTTTTCAGGCACTTTTTGAAGTGCCTCATACTTCCTGGGCTTCTGGGAGGTAAGCCCCTTTTTTAGATCTTACAGGCGACTAGGGGGAGAACATCAGTGCCAACTGCATCAATTTCATCCCAAGCTCTTGCCAAAAGTCTCTGGATTCCATTGTTGATTAGTGGAACCCTAGAACACCTTCGCCACCACTCATCTATCAATTTGTCCTACTGTGATAGCTCGTGATACTGGAAGCTACGTCAGTGGTATTTTAAATATGAGCACGGTCACCCATGGTGGACAAGTTTCAGAGAAGAAGGATATTGGGCTTGGTGAAATGAAGGGTCAGTGGAAAACAGGAAAACCCCAATAAGATAGATTGATGTAGTGGCAGCAACAACGGGCTCAAATATAACAATTGTGAGGAGGACACAGGACTGGGCAGTGTTTCCTTCTGTTGTGCACAGGGTCACTATGATGGCATGTGACAACAACAACGTAACATGTTTCTAAAACACAAGTGGGAGTTGCCCTTCAGCTCTAGGAACTTCATCTTTCTAGGCTGACGGTTGTCACAATGTGGTGTCTGGACCAGCAGCATCAGAATGACCTGTTTGTTAGAAACACAAATGATGAGGTCCCACACGTACTGAATGGGAAACAAGGGGGGTGAGGCCCAGAACTCTGCTTTGTCACAAGTCCTCCAGAAGATTCAAGGGCTCACTCAAACTGGAGAGCCACAGGCCTAAATAATGACTCAGTTATTTCACAAATTCAAAACTCAGCCCCTATGATTTCAGCAGCTATTACAGAGCATAGAAGAAAACAGAGGATGGTGACATTTCAGTCTATAACCTTGTGCACTGTAGTAATAAGCCTTTATCATTAGTGAATGATACTTGGAATTGATTAAAAACTGTCTCAAGAAAACCCAGGTCAATATATTCTCTTAGAAGTCTGCTGTTGTTTGTTGCCTTTGAGTCAGCCCATGGCTCGTGGCAACCCAGACATAACAGAAGAAAATGCTGACCAGTCCTGGGCCAAACCCATGATCGGTTGTGGATTTGACTCCTTGGGATCCACAGTTTTCATTACTTTTCTTAAAGCTTTGCTAAAATGTGTTCAGCATCCTAGCAAAACACAAGCATCCACTGCCAGAAAGAGGATGAATGAGCATTGGCTGGGAATCGAATCCAGGCCTCTTGCATGGAAGAGAATGAATGCTACACTGATTTGTAAGGGCAGATGGAATGTCTTATGGAAAGGCCATGAAGTCCAGGAGCATGCTGGCCCAGGGCACACCAGGCTCCAACACTTTCTAACTGTGTGACTCTTGAGGGAGTGATTTTGTGTCTCTCAGCCTCCATTTCCTCATCTGTAAAATGGAGCTGCTAGTCTCTCCCTCCCAAGGTAGCTGTGAGAATCAGTAACTCATCATTGAATAGGGCTGCCTGCCATTACTGGTTGAATCCAATTGTCAAAGATGCAAAATGCCTAGCAAATGCTTCGTGTTTAAAGAATTATACTCATCTAATGTTTAAACTTTTTGAGACTGTCAATGTTGCTGGAAACAGATTGTCTCATCTTTCTCCCTCTGAGTAACTGGTGGGTTTGAACTTCCAACACCACCGGGTTCCTTCATCTGTGAAATGAAGGTACCTAGGTGGTATAGGAAGTGCAATGGCTCTGTAGGATAAGCACTGTACTGCGGGCCACTAGGTGGTTGGTTCAGCCACTCTGTGGGAAAAAGATGAGGCTATCTGCTTTGGCAACGATTTAAAGCCTTGCAAACTCTATACAGGGTGTCTGTGAGTTGGAACTGACACAATGACACTTAACAACACAACAACAGGTGGCACAAAAGAGCCCTGGTGATGCTGTGGGATAAGCATCAGATTGATAAAGAAAAGGTCGGTAGTTCAAACCCACCAGTTTCTATGAGGGGGGAAGATCAGACAGTCTGCTCCTATAAAGATGTACAATCTTGAAGACACTGGGGAGCAGTTCAATTCTGTCCTGTGGGGTCACCATGAGTAGAATCGATTTAGTGACACTGGGTGGGTAGGTGGCACAGTTGGTGGTTCACACCAATCCGTGGTGCTGCGGAAGAAAAGGCCTGGTGAACTGCTTCTGTGAAGATAACAGCCAAGGAAAGCCTGTGGAGCAGTGCTATTCTGTGCCCCGTAGGGGGCGCCATGAATCAGAACCGATCCCATGACAGCTAAGAGCCATCTGAAATTACCAGTAGGAGAAGAGCTGGCCTTAGCAGTTCCAGATATGGCAGCTATGACCATATCTTATTTTAAAAATCTCACGTTCAGCATTTTTAGAGGAAAAACAACTCCCTTGCATAGCAGTGGCTCCTACGACTCCTTAAATGTGGGTGGTTGAGATGTTTCTCTCTGCTTGGGACCGGTAAGCTGCTGGACTCATGAAAAGCAAATAATTGAAATTTTTCTTTGTGATTTTCAGTCTCTGGTACCTAATTGAGCCTGTGCCTAGGGCTATGACATTTATGCAAAGGTGTGATTCCACATGCAGTTGGCCTTCTAGCTGGCAATATGCTCTGAGAAGGGGGAAAAATCCAGATTAGATCCTGAAAAGTGATGACTTATTCCCATTCTGTGTATGGCTGTTTCCAATTATCTTTGTAATGAAAGCTTCATACTTAATCAATTGTGCTTTTGGCAGCACCAGCCACCTTTAGTAATGTACGAACTGGGGCAGCCATCTCTTTTGATCATTGATTTTTTTCTTTTAATGACAGCTTTTGGGACTCACTAGTGTGTGAAATTAATACAGTCATTATTGAGTCCATCTGATAGATAATGAATCCATCGTGTCTTTATTTCAATGAGACTAATTGTCCTGGTGGCCCTGGCTGGTAGGAAGCATTCTGGAAAACAAGAGTTATCCCCAATTGGCCATGTTCATGTTCATTCCCCCATCGAGAAAGCACTAGCTGTGGGATTGGCTAAGTAGTCTCCATTACAGAAAAGAGGTTTAGGGTAATGGAGAATCGATCGAGACCCTTTGTTCCACCTAGAATCAAATTGCAATTGAACTTCAAGATCCAGGTGTTTGTATCATAGTGAATGAGGAAATTGTTGCTCTTGTTGACAGTGAGACTGGGTATAGGAAATACAGTCAAAGACCCGGGAGAGGGAGTGGTTGTAGGAGTTACACACAAGTTTCTGGGTTGAATTTTGCTTTGTTGATCATCCACTGTGTCATCATAAGTAAATCACACACCCTTCCTGTGTCAATGGGTCACTGGGTGGCACAGTTTATTCTTTGCTACTAATCTCACAAGTTGGTAGTTTGAGCCCATCCAATGACACCAACGAAGAAAGACCCAGAGATCTGCTTATTTTTCTGCTTTGTTAGTTGCCATCGCATTGGTTCTAACTCTTAGCATTCCTACGTATGACAGAATGAAACACTGCCTGGTGGTTTGCTTTCCTCACAATTGTTACCAACAGGGCTCCCTTGACAAGTTATTTGTTCTTAAGTACTGTCTAGTTGATTCTGACTCATAGCAACCCTGTAGAGGGTCTGAGGAGTGGCTGGTGAGTTTGAACCGATGATACTCTGATTCAAACCGACCTTGCAGTCCAATGCTTATCCTAAGGACCACACCAGAATTCCAACCTCATTAAAGCACTACCGCTTACCAGTTGTTATCAAGTTAACTCTGAATCATGGTGAGTCTGATGTGTATCAGAGTAGAAATATGCTCCATAGTGTTTGCAATGGTTGAATTAAAAAAAAAAAAAAAAAAGATTGCCAGACTATTCTTCCAAAGGGCCTTCCGGGTGAACTTGAATCTCCGATCTTGCGTTAGTAGCTGAGTTCACTAATGGCTTGTGCCATTCTGGAATTCCTCATGAAAGGACCATGACAATCTTCTTTGTTGCAGAGTAGAAACACTCATCAGCTATTATCTTTACAGATGGAGCTTTGAGGTGCAGTGGGTTAAGTGCTGGGCTGCTAGCCCGAAGTGGTTTGAACCCACCATCTACTCTGGCAGAGAAAGATGAGACAGTCTGCTTCTGCAAATATTTACAGCCTTGGAATCCCTATGGAGCAGTTCTCCTCTATCCTATAAGGTTGCTATGAGTTGGAATTGATTTGACAGCAGTGGGGAATCATAGCAGTAAATCGCCAGGCCTTTTTCCCATGGTGCCTCTGGGTGAATTTAAACTGCCAACCGTTAGGTAAATGTTGTCAGGTACTATTGAGTTGCTTCTGACTCATAATGGTCCTATGCAAAACAGAACCAAACACCGTCCCATCCTCTGCCTTCCTCACACTTATTATGTCTGAGCCCCAATTGCATTCTCTGTGTCAACCCATCTCATTGAGGATCTTCCTCTTTTTCACTGACCATCTACTTTACCAAATATGATGTTCTTTTCCAGAGACTGATCCCTCTTTATAACATGCTCAAAGTACATGAGACATTGAATCATCATCCTTACCTCTAAGAAGCATTCTGACTATATTACTTCCAAGACAGATTTGTCCCTTCTTTTGGAAGTCCATGGTCCCTTCAATGCTTTGCCGTAGATGAGGACAAGTCTCTTGTGCCACCCAGTTACCTGTTAAAGGAACCAAACCAAACACTGCTTTCAAGTTGGTTCTGACTCATAGGGACCCTATAGGACAGTGTAGAAATGTTTTCTAGGGTTTCCAAGGTTCAAAATCTTTATGGGAGCAGACAGCTCCATCTTTCTCCCCAAGAGCAGCTGGTGGCTTCAAACCAATGACCCTGCAGTCACCAACCCAACATATAACTCATAGAGCCTCCAGTGCTCCTCATTAAAAGACAACTGGTCTCAAATACTGATGGCAGATGCCAGGGAGAGAGGGTCTGCATTGCACCCACTGCAGTTTTTGTTTCTCCTTCCAGGTTTTCCTCAAAGCGGGTGTGGTCTGCAGACTTGAGAAGCAGCGGGAGAGGCTTGTGTCTCAGAGCATTGTTCTTTTCCAGGCGGCCTGCAAGGGCTTCCTGTCTCGCCAGGAATTCAAAAAGCGTAAGGTATGGAGTCCCAGAAAAACACCATCCCGCTCTTCCTCCCCTCCTTGCCAGTGGGGCTGTGAGCCCATGCCTCTCACCCTTGTTCTTGCCTGGGAATCCCTGTGCGATTCTGCTCCAGTGAGACTACGGTGGAGCAGGGGTGACTGCATTCTCACCAGCCCCCAGATGATGCCAGTGCTGCGGGGCCTATGTGAGTGAAGATTCCAGCAGACCGTTTACAACATGATTTGGTTGCTCCCAGAACATTGGCACCAAATGACCAAGCGTGCTTACCTTGACCTAGACACTGATGATGTTGTCCACATTCTCTGGAGTAGGCTCATGCTTTCAAACTGTCCATCTCTGGGAGACTGGCTTTCATGGTCAGTAGACAAGGCATAGGCTATGTCATTTAGGACCAGAGGTCAAGCCCAGCGTCCTGAGCCACCCTTGGCCCTGATCTTCAGAACTCTCCAGTGACTGGCATTCTTTGGTATGATCTATTTAGGTAGCTACCTATTCTGTCATAATAAATATACAAAGGTATGTCAAAATGTGTTGCCATTAGGGTTCCAGTTCATATATATTTATTCCAAACAAAGCATGTTTACACATGTCTCTGTGAACAATGGGTAGCTGCAGACAAGTTCTCTCAGTAGTACATTTGTCTTAATTTTGTTAAGGTGAATTAAAAAAAACAAAACAAAATAGATCCAATCAAAACAGTGACTTCCAAGGGGATCAACTGGGCCTGTTAAATTCAAGGCAAAGAGGTCAGCTCAAAAGGCTACTGGGACTGCTTTTTTGGAATTCCAGAGGAGTCATCTTGTTGGATTTTCTCAAAAGATTACGACAATCCCACGGGCTTATGAGGAAGAAGTTTTAAGAAAATGGAAAACTGTATTGGGGAGAAAAAACTCAGGAAAGTCTTGCTGAGGAATTTTTTCCATCACGACAAAGCACCGGCTTATTCTTCCAGGTTAGCCAAGGCCAACCTAGAAGAATTTCCTTAGCAAACCTCACCCCATCCACCCTTCAGTCCTGATCTTGCCCCTTCATACTTCTTTTTATTCACCCAACTCAGAGAACATTTGAAAAAGAGCATGATTTGAATCCCTCGAGGATGCTAAGACTGCTGTTTTGACATGATGTACATTGAAAATCCTAGAATTTTTCAGGGAAGATTAGAGAGATGGAAACTCGACCTTCAAAAGTGAATGGACCTAATTGTAACCATGGCAATGAAACACTATATGATAAGATGAATATAAAACTAATGCTCTCCCATGTAAACTATCACATAAATCACAATAAAACATTAACAAAAAAAGTGTATGGGCCTAGATGGAGGATAATTTTGGGAAACAGTAACTTCACATTTGGATTTTCTTGTCTAATAAAGATTTCTATGATTTTAAGAAGTCCTGGTGTGGTGCTCTAGGATAAACACTTCACTGCTAGCCACAAGGTGGGCACTTCAAACCCACCAGCTTGTCCTCAGAAATCCTATACAGGGTTGCTATGAGTCGAAATGACTCAACAGCACTTAACAACAGCAATGGTGATTTTAAAGCAATACGTTTCGACTTACCTCATACATATTGTTGTTACTTAAGTCCCATCAAGTTGGTTCTGACTCATAGTGACCCTGTATAGAGTTTCCAAGGAGCAATGGTGAATTTGAACCACTACCTTGTAGCGTAGTGGTTACGAATTGGGCTGCGAACCTTAAGGTCAGCGGTTCGAAACTACCAGCTGCTCCGTGGGAGAAAGATGAGGCTTTCTACTCCCGTAAGGATTTACACCCTCGGAAACCCTATGGGTCGGAACCGACTCGACGGCACTTAACAACAACAACAACAACAACCTTGTGGTTAGCAGTCCAGTGCTTATCCTACAGTGCTATACCAGGACTCCTTGTACACTGTTGTTGTTAAGTGCCTTGAAGTCAGTTCTGACTCATAGCGGCCCTGTGTAGGGTTTCCAAGGAGCAGCTGGTGGCTTTGAACTGCCTACCTTGTGATTCTCAGTCCAATGCGGATCCTACAGTGCCACACCATGTTGTTGTTGTTGTTATGTGCCATGGAGTCAGTTCTGGCTCATAGTGACCCCGTACAGGGTTTCTGAGGCTGTAAATCTTTACGGGAGCAGAAAGCCTCATCTTTCTCCTGCGGAACAGCTGGTAGTTTCAAACTGCTGACCTTGTGGTTCACAGTCCGATTTGTAACCAGTACGCTACCAGAGCATAGCACATAATAATTTTGGTTCATGCCCCAAGTTTGAGAAACACTGAATTTAAATATGTTTAGAACGTGTTCATTGTTCTTGTTAAGTGACATTGAGTGAGTTTTGACTCTTAGCAACAGACACTGTATAGGAAGTCTGAGGAGCGACTGGTTCAAACCAGCAACATAGTGGTTAGCAGTCCATTTCTTATCCTTCAGTGCCACACTAGGGCTCCAAAAAGTGTTTAAGTAAACTTAATTAAAAAAAAAAAAAAAAAAGAAAAGACTGTCCCTTAAATATGAGCGGTCATCAAAAAGTTTGTGGGAAAGTGGAATTAAAAAGATAACACAATTTTTCTATGGACTTTTTGAAGTACCATTGTTTAAACTAGCAATGTACTCAGGAACAATTTTTTTCATAGGGATTTACAAATAGTTACTGCCTTGTACATTGGCTTACCAACCAAATCCACTCAAAAGATAGGATCCTATTGGATAGTATTTTCTCCTCCTCTTATTATTATTAAGGATCCCTGGTGGCACTGTGGGATAAGCACTGGCCTGCTAACCACAAGGCCAGTGGTCCAAATCCACCAGCAGCTCCAGATGATGAAGATGAAGCTGTTTGCTCCCATGAAGACTGACAGCCTCAGAAACTCCAGGAAGCAGTTCTGATCTGTCCTCTAGGGTTGTTATGAGTTGGAATTGACTCAGCAGTAGTGGGTATGGTTTGGGGATTTGGTTTTTGCCCAGGACCCCTCAGTGTGCCCCTCTCCTTTCTCTGCAGATCCGCCGCCTGGCTGCCCAGTGCATCCAGAAGAATGTAGCTGTGTTCCTGGAGGTCAAGGACTGGCCCTGGTGGCAGCTCCTTGGTTCCCTGAGACCCTTGCTGAGCTCCACCATGGGGGAAGAGCAGCTTCGAGCCAAGGAGGTCAGTCCACAGGGCAGGCAGGGTGCTGCACGGTGACTCTCTCCTCCCAGCCAGCTCAGTGGCTGTATCCAGGACCCATCCCCCATCTGAAAGCTCAGCCCAACAGTGCTCACTGCCCCCTCCAGATATCTCTGGCCTCTGCCAGTCCCTGCCCATCCTCAAGCCCTGCCCAGTGGACATGTACTACACAGACCCTTGCATTGCTATTCCTCCATACTCACAATGGAGGGACCTTTGATTTGTTTTCTTAGCCTCACTTAAACATTTCATAAAAGCCCATCATCGTCAAGTTAATTATGGACTCAGAGCAACCGTAAAGGGCAGAGTAGAACTGCCCCCATAGGCTTCCCAAGGCTGTCATTCTTTGCTGGAAGTAGACTGCTGCTTCTTTCTCCCATGGGCTGGTTGGTGGGTTCTGCCTGCCGACCTTTTAGTGAGCAGCCCAGTGCTTAACCCACTGCGCTACTAGGGCTCTTCGAGAAATTGCAAACTTAAGAAAAGTGGAAAAAAACGGCATAATGAGCATGGCTGTGCCTTTCACCTGGAGTCTCCGAGTTGCACAAAGAGTTAAGTACTTGGCTGCTAAACAAAAGGTTGGAGGTTCAAATCCACCCAGAGGTACCAGAGAAGAACGTCCTGGTGATCTATTTCCAGAAGGTCACAGTCATTGAAAATCCTAGAGAGCACAGTTCTGCTCTGACTCACATGGGGTTGCCAGGAGTCAGTGTGGCTAGATAGTAACTGGTTTAGATTTTTGGTCTACACCCTTTGCCTGGGTTTATCAATTACTAACGGTTTTCAAGTATACTCTGTCTCGATTGTTACACACATTTACAGGCATCAAAAAGTTTATGGAAAAATGGAATGAAAAGAGCATGGATGTTTTCCATCAACTTTTTGAAACCCTGTGGTACGTGCATACATCCCAAACCAAACCCAACCCCACCACCTTTGAGTTGATTCTGACTCATTGTGACCCCCATTGCCATCGAGTCAAATTCAGACTCAGAAGGACCCTATAGGACAGATCCGGACCCATGAGATTTCCAAAGTTGTAAATCTTTATGGGAACAGACGGCCAAGTCTCCCACAGAGTAGCTGATGGGTTCAAACTGCCGACCTTTCAGATGAGCAACTGAGTGCCTAACCAGTGTACCACCCTCTCCCTCCTTCATTTCTTTTCAGGAGCATTAGCAAACACATCCAGCTACACCCTGAGTTCCTTTCTTTCTTGTACTGTTGTTGTTAAGTGCTGAGGAATTGGTTCTGACTTTTAGTGACCCTGTATAGGGTTTCTGAGGCCTAAAATCTTTTTTCAAGAGCAGAAAGCCTCATCTTTCTCCCATGGAACATCTAGTGGGCTTGAACCACTGACTTTGTGGTTCACAATCCAGTGTTTATCCTACGGAGCCACTACAGGTATCATAATAAAAGGGTTCCAAAAACTTTGTGGAAAAATAGAATGAAAAGATAGTGGAAGTTTTCATAAACTTTTTGAAGCCCCCTTGTATGGATTTTTCTACAACTTGTAATTTTTCACTTAAACATGTGTCTGGCAGCCATGTGGCATCCTCTGATAGAGGACTTCTGTGTTCTCTCTCTAGGGGTATGTAGCTCTCCTTTGTGTGTTCTGCAGGGCGCTCAATCATCTGTTTGTGAATGAGCATGTGGGCAGCTTTCTAATGGTGGTGGTGTTTTCATGGAGTTGCGAGCCACTGGTTGTTGTTGTTGTTGTCAGGTGCCATCCAGTTGGTACTGACTCATAGCGACCTTATGCACAGCAGAATGAAACACTGCCGATCCTGGACCAACCTCACTATTGTTGCCACGCTTGAGTCCATTGATGCTGCCACTTTGCCATTCCATCTCGCTGGGGAACTTCCTCTTTTTCTCTGACTCTCCACCTTAGCAAACATGATATCCTTCTCCAATGACTGGTCCCTTCTGACAATATGTCCAAAGTATGAGCAGAGAAAATTGGGGAAGATAAGGGCTGGGCTTACCATCCACCTGCAGGCATGCCCAGCCGTCGGCTTCACAATGGTTCCAAGCCAAGGGTTCACATTCACACCCAACACTGGGCTGGTGTGGAGCAGACTTGCATGAACAGAAACCTTGCTGGTTGGAAATGATGAACTTAGATTATTGAATTCCTCACAGGTGTGCTGGCAGAATCACCCAATTCATGCACAAATAACTATTTTTTTAACTGTATCTTTTTGAAGTTCTGGGTTTTCAGAAGAATTGAGTAGAATGAACAATATGTTCTCATTTGCCCACTCCCTCCTGCCCCTGCCCCAGGACAGTATTAATATCTTGCATGCTTCTTTTTTTCTTCTTCTATTACTTATTAAAGGAGCTCTGGTAGCGTAGTGGTTATGAATCGGGCTGTGAACCTTAAGGTCAGCGGTTTGAAACTACCAGCCGCTCCATGGGAGAAAGATGAGGCTTTCTACTCCCGTAAAGATTTACACCCTTGAAAACCCTGTACAGGGTCGCTATGTGTCAGAACTGACTCAACGGCACTTAACAACAACAACAACATTACTTATTAGAGGAATTTATAAACGCACATCGAAGTAGAATAATTACAATGAACTTTTTATCACTCATCGATTAGTTTTCTGCCATCTTTGTTTTATTAGGCCCTCTCAGCATTTTATTTTCCTTAAATATTTTAAAATAAATCCTGAATAGCCTATTGTTTCAGTGGGTCTCTAATAGATAAGGACTTGAAACCATACCATTTTCACCCTTAACTGAATTAGTAGGATAAAAACAAAACAAAACAAAAAATCACCTAATGTATTAGGAGGGATTTTCAAAAACATCATCTAATACCTAGTATATAAAAGCGATCCCTGGTGATGCAGTGTGTTAAGCTTGGACTGCTAACCTCAAGGTTGGTGGTTTGAATCCACCACTTGCTCTACAGGAGAAAGATGAAACTATCAGCTCCTGTAAAGATTGACAGCCTCAGAAACTCGAAGGAGCAGTCCTAGTCTGTCTTATACGGTTGCTGTGAGTTGAAACTGACTTGATGGCAGTGAGATTGGATTTGGGTTCAATTCCCTGCATTTTCCAACTCCACTTTCTTTTTAACACAAGTGAATGAATGCCTCTGCCCCAGCATTGCTTCTGTCGCATATTTGTTTTTGTAGGCGGAGCTTACCACGCTGAGACAAAAGCTAAAGAAATCAGAGACGGCAAGGAATGAACTCCGGCAGAATGCAGACCTGCTAGAGAGCAAGGTAACTCTGGGTGCCTGTGAGGTGGGGGGGCGGGGGTCTACTGGGTTAAACAGAATGGCTACTGTGCTCAGTGGTTTAGAAGCATCCTCAAAATGCCTTTGTCAGGTGTATGCACTTGTGCTGAGATTGTCCCCATTTTGTGGAGGTGGAAACTGAGGTCCTGGGATAATGGCTGAAATTCAAACCTGTGTCATCTGGTTACAAATGGAAGCATGGCTTAAATAAATTACAGGAAACACAGATTACAAATAAAGACACAGTGATACATTTGTCTATATTAAAGTAACAAACTTCTGTTTATCAACATAAAGTGAAGATACTCCCCATACTTAAGGAAGAAATTTGCAGCACATTTAACCTGACAAGAAAATCCAGCATCTGTAAAGAATTTATTCAAATCTATTAGATAAGAGGGGAAGAAATGAGCAACAGGAGTGAACAGGCAGTTACCAAGGGAGGAACAGGAATTTAAATGACCACTAAACTCATGATGTGATGCTAACCTAACTGTTGTTGTTAAGTACCGTGGAGTCGGTTCCGACTCATAGTGACCCTACACAGGGTTTCCAAGGCTGTACATCTTTACAGGAGCAGACCGCCTCATCTTTCTCCTGCGGAACCATTGGTAGTTTCGAACTGCCGACCTTGAGGTTAGCAGCCTGATTCATAACCACTGCGCTACCAGAACTAACCTAACTAGCAGTCATGAAATGTAAATGAACAATAGTAGCCATTTCACATGTTGGATTGGCAAAATTGCAAAGTCTGATGCTATAGCCAAGTGTTGACAAGGATGTATCACAGCGGAAGCTCTTTTCCACCGGCTAGAAGGGATGTGAAACTGAGCAGTTTGGTGCTAACTATCAGAGTCCTGGTGTGGTGTTGTGGGATAATGCACTTGACCAAAAGGTCAGTTTGAACCACAAGGTTGGTGGTTCAAATTTACCAACCACTCCTTGGAAACCCTATACAGGGTCACTATGAGTTGGAACTGACTCGATGGTACTTAACAACAACAATGGAAGATGAGGGAGTACAGTGGCTCTATATGATCATTGAAGCCCACTAGCTGCTCCAAGGGAGAAAATGACACTTTCAGCTCCTGCGAATACGTAGAGTGACCCTATAAAGTGTCACTATGAGTTGGAGCTGACTTCAAGGCACTTAACAACAGCAACGTGGAAGTTGAAGCTGTCCCTCCCCTGTAACCCAACCATTCTACTTCTGTGTATGCAAGTGAGAGAGTCTACTGTGTATATGAAAAGACAAGAGATCCATAGCAGCAGCATTTGTCATGTTGAATAAACACTCAGTTGGAAGTGTATTGACAAGGGAATGGATGAACACATTTTGCTAGGTTAAAATTTAAGTAACCAAAAGAGGAAATGAATGAAGAAATGGGCAAACTGTGGTTGGCAGGCCAAATTCAGCTTGCCATCTGTTTTTGTGAATAAAGTTTTATTGGAACACACCCACCCCCATTCACATATGGATAGTCCATGCATGGTTTAGGGTATGCTGGCACACATAGTTGTGACAGAGGCCGCATGGCCCTGAAAGGTCACGACATTTACTATCTGGCCCTTTCCAGAAAAAAGTTTGCTGATCTATCTCTAGAAATGCATGTATTAAAGTGAATGATCTCAGACACATAAAGTTGAAGTAAATGATTAAACTACAAGAGAATACCTAAAACATGATATCATATACTTGATATTTTAAAAGTTGCCGGACAATATTACATATTGATTAGAGGCATACATACACAGACGCATGAGGGGGACTTCAAAAAAGTTTATGAAAAAAATGGAACTGAATGATAATGAATGTGTCCATGAACTTTGTGAACCCCTCTCATGTATGTGTTTGTGTGTATGTATAAAATCCATTGCCATCAAGTCAATTCTGACTCATGTGACCCCATGTGTGTCAAAGTAGAACTGTGATCATAGGGCTTTTAATGGCTCTGGTCTTCTAGAAGGAGTCCTAGGTGGTACTGATGGTTAACATGTTTAGCTGTTAACTGAAAGGTTGAAAGTTTGAGCCCACCAAGAGGTCCTTCAGAAGAAAGGCCTGGTGAGCTCCTCAGCTACTGAAAACCATATGGAACACGGTTCTATTCTGATAAACATAGGTTGCCTTGAGTCAGAATCTACCTGATGGCAGCAATACTGATTGATGGTACTCTACTGATTTTAATCTTATAGCAGCCACCAGACCTCTCTTCCATGGCACTGCTGGCTGGATTTGAACCACCAACCTTTTGGTTAGGAGTCAAGTGCAAACTATTTGTGTCACTGTAGTGCTGCAGGGTAAACATTGGGCTGCTAATCACAAGGCTGGCGATTCAAACCTATAAGCTGCTGCTTGGAAACCCTATATATGGTTGCTATGAGTCGGAACTGACTTGACAACACTTAACAAAAACAGCAGTAGATAAGTATACATGTATAGTTATGGTGTCAGAGCATTCACAGAAATCATAAACACTAAATCTAGAATAGGAGCTTTTTGGGGGAGGGGGTTGAATGGGATATGTGATGGATAATAATGCGAAGTGATGTCACTGGTGTTGTCCTATTTATTTAGCTGGGTGTGACGTTCAAGGGCTAGAATTTTGATATTGAGCTTCTTAGAAGCCAAGGAAAAGAGGAAATTAATATATCCTATAGATGCAATGGAGTCCTGGTGTGGCACTGTGGGCTAATGTGTCAGACTGCAAAGTCGTTTGAACTGCAAGGTCCATGGTTCAAGCTCACCAGTCGCTCCGTGGAAACCCTATACAGGGTCACTATGGTTCGGATTTGACTCGACGGCACTTAACAACAACAACATAGATGCAATGAACTTAAATTATAAAAAAAAAATCCAATTGCTTTAGAGAAGAATACATTTCTTTTGAACTGTGCATGCAAACCAGAAAATTCTTACCCTCCAGGAGGTCACTACAAATTACAGACCAATTTCTGCAAAAATCCATATATGGCAGCATGGTTTATCATTAATGAGCCGCGAGGAAACTGAGAAGGGTTCATCTGAGGAAAGTCTGTTGTTCCCTTAAGTCTTTTGGGGCTGAGACTCAGGGGAGCCAAGTGAGGTCTCCTGAGGTACAACATGTAAAAGGCCTTTCAAATAGCCAGTCATCAAATAAACGTTTCATGTAATATTTAAAAACTTGGAAATGAATGCAAAAAAAAAAGTCCATGATGAACAGAACAGTATTTCAACTAAAGGCAGGATCTGTGAGCCGTGATTCAGGTGGAGACTGTATTTAAAATATTCTGTCTATATTTAAAATATTCATATTTCAGTGACCATGGTATCTTAACATGGCTTCTTCTTCTCATGTGTGACTCTGCTTCCCTGTCCTCTCCTTTTTGAAGGCACCACTCAGAAAGCATTTGGAAACTTGTTGGTTTGGTTGGCTAACTGTTGGTCTGTGAATCAGAAAAAGGTTGTTGGTTTTAACCCATCAGCCATTCTGAGGGAGACAGATGAGGCTGTCTGCTCCTGTAGACATGGATAGTTTTGGAAGCCCTGGGGAGCAGTTCTATTCTGACCTATGGGCTCTCTCTGGGTCAGAATCAACTCACATATGGTGGGCTCAAAAGGGATTAGGACTAGAACCCACTCTACTCTGGTAGGACCCAATAGATAACATCTTCAAAGATAGACCCAACTTCTCCAGACAAGGTCACATCCACAGACACAGGGACACCATTCAATCCATGAAAGAAGACCAGGTGGCTTAACCCTGTGAGCTGGGGTAAAATGATAACTCATTGTTTTGATTGTGGCATTGTAGGATAAACACTGTACCACAAGGTTTCCCAAGTTGTTGTTTTTGGGTTTTTCCCCCCATCCTTTTAGTGAAATCTTCTGATGCACTTGAGTGTCTAATTTTTAGGAGGTCTCAATCATCTATTTTGTCTTCTGCTGTTTATGTGTTTTCAGTTATATTTGGTAGTATGTTTATGCCATATATCAGAGCCCTTAAGTTTGTCCCTATTTTTTCTTTGGTGATCTTTATAATTCTAGGTTTTACATTTAGATATTTAATCCATGGTGAGCTCATTTTTGCATATGGTGTGAAATATGGGTCTTGTTGCATTCTTATGCAAATGGATTTCCAGTTTTGCCAGCACTATTTGTTGAAGAGACTATCTCTTTCTTATTTAATGTGTTTTGGTCCTTTGTCAAAGATCAACTGAATGGATGGATTGATTTCTGAGTTCTCAGTTCTGTTCCATTAATCTATGTGTCTTTTGTCGTTCCGGTACCAGGCTGTTTTGATTACTGTGGCTGTGTTTTGAGATCAGGAAGCTAGAAGCCTCCTATGTTGGTCTTCTGGTATCATAATGTTTTGCTTATCTGGGGTCTCTTTCCTTTTCATATAAAGTTGGTGATTAGTTTTACATCTCCTTAAAGAACGATGTGGGAACTTGGATTGGTATTGCATGACATCTATAGATTACTTTGTATTGACATTTTCACAACGTTAAGTCTTTCTATTCATGAACAAGTTATATTCTTCAATTTTTTTAGGTCTCTTTTGGCTTATTGTACTAATGTTTTATAGTTTCCTTTGTATAGTTTTTTTCTTTCACTGGTTTGATTTATTCCTAACAATTTCATCTTTGGGTGGCTATTGCAGATGATATTGTTTGCCTGGTTTCTTTTTCAGAGTTCTCTTTATTAGTGTAAAGGAATTGAACTAATTTTTATATATTAATCTTCTACCTGCAAATTTGCTGAATCTTTCAATGAGTTCCAATAATTTATTTGCAAGTATCTAGGATTTGCTACATATAGTATCATATCATCTTCAAATAGAGTTTTACTTCTCCTTTGTCAATTTGGATGCCTTTACTTTCCTTCTGTTGTCATATAGCTCTGGAAGGCCCAGTGAATTTTTACAAAGTGCATGTACCCATGCAAGCAGCACCCAGATTGAGACACTGAACATTTCTGGCTCCTCCTAAAGGTCTCCCTCACAATTC